AAGAAATGTTGAACCATTCCTTGAAATTTTTCTGGGTCTCACCTGTAATGTATTTACTTTATCTTTTTCGATTGACTCCAACATACATATTCGTTTAACGTGTATGCCTCTTCATAAAACTCAAACAGCATTGCTACGGCATGAAGAGGATCTTTTTTTTAACCATTCCTTTACTTTTAAAAGGCAAAGTAGTACCTAATAGAATCTACATTCCAAGACTTGTGCTTTCAAACAAGATGCAACAGAGTCGCTCTAAAACTAGTCGATAGGTTCTTGGACAGATTGTTCAAAGCACGTCGAGGCGCATTTATAAAAGTGTGTAGAGTCAAATGGTCGAAATAAATGAATGTGACGATACAGAATAAACAGATGGGCTTGGAGAAAGGGTCGTTGAGGAGGAGTCTTGTCATTTGAAAGAGTCGGTTTCTTGGTGTTCCATCAATGTTTCTTGTACAATGTCCAACCTGGCTTGCGTCTCTTCTTGAAAAGCTGGGATAATAGCTAAAACATTAGGTTGGGTATTATACAATGAATAAGTCTCCTTGATTACTGCTAGACCTTTGAGGATAATCTCTCCATTGTTATCGGTAATAAATGTACAAGTTGTTTTTGGCTTTACGCGGCATCTTTTTGCAACGTCTTGAATGTTGGTCTCTGTGTTTTCAAGAGACTGAGTGAATCACGAAATATTTTTACAAGACAACTTGAGGTGTTTATCCATTTCTGTGGAGTGTTGCTATTACCTTGGGAACCAGAAAAGGAAACCAAAAAAGGATTTCATCTATTCTCCCAAAAAGGGGACAGAAAGATTGATTGGTTTTACAATGAAACAGTCAGTTCCCAAAAAAGGATGAAAAAAGCTGCAAGACTATGTTCAACCAGCTGTATTGCTTTCAACATACTCGACACAACCAATTGGTAACGAGTCTCTGATACGGATGACAACACTCTCTCAAACTATAGGAGAGAATGGGCAAGCAATGTCATCAAGGTTTTGGGTAAACATGGGAAAAGACTGTCGTTTAACTTGGTGATGGGTAAGAATCAACAAGGCAGGGAATTCTACAGTAATAGCAATCTAATGAGAAACCAATGCCAAGTCTTGTTGTCTCATCCAAAAAGGCAACCAACAAAGATTGACAAATTTGCAGAGAGTTGGTTTTTAAAGACGTTATTGAAGCTTCTATTGTATTTGATCGTAAAGTATTTTTCATGACATAGTTGCAAAGAAGAAAATGCTTCATAAGGCGAATTCACTTTTTTTTCGTTGCAAGTGATTTCTTGGATCTGGTACTTGAGAATGGTCAACCATCATCATGAATTGATATTTGAGTTTGTAAAAGGAGATATCAAGTTGTTAAGGAATATGTAAAGGTGATTTCGTGGAGACTTGTTAAAAGATCTCACAAATGTAGGGGTACAATACGCTTATTGTTTGGTAATTTGAGGGAATAGTAGGGGAATTTTGTCCCGATGTAGGGGCAGTGTTTGGAGAGTGAGACATACTTTTATAAGTATCACTTTAAGACAATCTAGTAAAACCAAACCTATCTGCAAGGCTGTAGTTGCTGCACTTTTTTCGTACAGACTTTAACAAGCCCTTGTTGTTGATGACTAGAACACAGTTCTTGGCTATGGATAAGACTGTACTCCAATCCTTCAAGTATGGTTATGCTTCAACAGGTAAGCAAAAAGCTTTTCAAGGGTTCTTTTCTTGTGTTTTTTTGGGTGTGTTTGTCTCAAGGTTTCGTAAAGACTTGAGCTTCGAAAAGGACAACTTTTCTTTGACTTTTACTACTTGTAGCTTTTTTCAATGTCTTGGTAAACCAAGCGATGATATCATTCAACTGGCTACTCAACTCAATATTACTTGTGTTTTTCCAAACTCGTTACTCTCAAGGGTACTTGTCCATTTTTAAGGAGTCATTTCAAACAATATTGAGGTTGATCTTAAACATGTTACAGACTGTGATTTTGCTGAATTGAAACGTATTTTTTTGTTATGGTTATTCAAAACAAGTTCTTTTGAAAAGAGTAAAAAAATAGCCATTTTTTGTCATTCTTCTCTTCTTTTGCATAGAATGTGTCTTTAAAGCATTGGCTCTTAATGTTTCGTTATCAGTGTGGAAATCAAAGTTAACTTTCTTGGAATGATCTTTTACTGTTTCAAATGGCTTTATTGATTTTTACACACACTGTCCTCAATTTCAAACATCCATAATGGCAATTTCCAAATCAACACAATCGCCTTTGGGTTGGCCCCTCTTCAATTTCCTCACACCCTTTCCCCACCCATTTCCCCCCATCGCAATTTCCCCACTCTCTCCCATTTCCAAATTTGCCCATTCTTTTCCACCCCACACCCATAATGACAATTTTCAAATCAAAATTGCGCGGGCCCATTCCAAATCAGCCACTCTTTTCAAATTGCCCACCTTTCCCATTAGCAGAAAAATCAGTAAAAAGTGTGTATATTGGTGCTCAGCATATTATGCAGAATCAAACCCAATGGAAACAACAAAATCTCCATTCTACAGTATACCAATATGATTCAACATTGGGTCAATTCTGGAAACAACAGACTCAAACGAGTTAAGGTCAACGATCTGTTTAGAATTTGGAAGTAATTTACAACTATGAGGAGAGAATTTGGGGATTTTCTCTCGTTATGATTCTTGTCAAGCAATCTATCAACTAGATTGTCCTCTGTGTATTTAGATGAAAGAATACTAGTACTCGTTGGTATTTCGTCCGCCAAGTCTACTTGGGTAAATTCTTCCAATAAATCCATACAATCGTGAAGCAATCGGTATTAAATAGACTATCGAGGATATATAAATACTATATGCACCAAAGTCTAGGGTATAACGACTCTTCTTATGGGACAGAGAGTTTTATAGTGTCACGATAAAAGATCTTGATGAGCTACAGGACTCATAATAGACGGACAACCCAATGTGGTTCAAACAACCCATTTCATTCTATTAGCACTGTCCAATCCAGTCCGTATTCATCTTGAGAATGAACAATGAAACTACTCCTATTTATATCACTTACCTTGTATAAATCTTTTTCTATGGTTACAACTTGTCTTTGACTCGCAAATCAACAATCTGTCTAAAGTGAATTCTTGGATCACCTTTTTCAATAGAGTTGTTTTGCTACTATTCCTCAAATACTGGAATCAGTCAATTTTACTAATCCGAGTGCAATTATTTGTCAGTTGATAAATAAATAGGCTAGTATGACACAAAGCAATCAATCATTCAATCAATGAATCAACACAAGCCAAACTTAATTCTTCATCCATAAAGATAACAAAGAGTCTGCTGTGCAAATGACCATGACCCAGTAAAAGCTGTACCAGATTATCAACTCGAATTTGTAATAGCTTAATATAAAAAAGATAAGGGACAACTTTTTTCACCATAGAAAGCAAACGGACATAACCATGTATCTCAGCACGACTTGAAGTACTACCGATCTAAGGTTAGGATCAAAGTACTTCTTCGTCAATCTTCTCAAGTTATTATGTGGATTCAAATCTATCAAACAACATAAAACCGAATGTTTGCGTTCTTCTACTTAAAATAGGAATGATCTCTAAAGTTGCTGAGCATACAGTTCCGTTCAATTCAGTTGAATTATCTCGTATGTTTATGATTCTGTAGTTAACTGGGGCAGCATGCACGTCCCACTATCAAATCGATCCTTGATGAAACAGATTGGTGACAACTTGGTTCTATCAAAACTATACAATTCATTGCCATAGAACTTGATAGTCTCAACGATACCAAGGCTTTTATGAACTAAGTTACAGGATGAGCTGTATGATAAACAGTGAAAAAAAAGCTAAGGGTAAATTCGAATAGCATATAATAGGTACTCTTCAAATACAGTATTCATAAGAAAATATGAATTCAAATGGACAAGGTCAAGTCGTTCTATTTGACACCAAGTTCAATACAAAAGTGGCCAGGATAGATTACAGTCCCTCTTTCTGCAACTTAAAATCGAGCTTGTCTTTAGGCATGAATGATATGACAGAAACCAATAAAATTCTATTTATGACGAACTCGTGCAATTCTATAGGTAAGGCTCCGTGAATAAGAGAATGAAAGGTGCTTAAAGAAAAAATAAATTGCTCTTAATCCGACATTGTTCTGATTCTCTCAAGCAAAGCACCTGGCTTATTCACTAGTTTGATGGTTGATTGCCCTGTTTTGCACAGTCGCTTATTTCTCCTCTCAATACAGTTTAAACTCAATTCAACATAGCCGAAACTATGATCTCAAAGGCATTTGAATTCAAACTGATTCCTGGAAACTAGCTCATATCCCTATTGTCTCTGGTCTTGTCGATTAGATAGAAAAATATATCAGTTCCACAATTTAGGAATGTATTGAGTTTTTAAAATACAGAAAGAGAGTGGTCGTAAAACACCAACCATAATTCTAAATAGGTAAGGAACTATAGAAGAAATAGTATGTTTATGACTCTTCGAGAATAGTGCTGTAGTGAGAAGTGTTGTCCTATTTCTTCCAAGAGTTGCTGTTATTGTTGTCGTCAAATGTGCAAATTAGATAGTAAATTCTGCTTTTATAATCATTTCTAACAGTTCATACTAAGACCTCAATGATTTTTGCAATGGAAATAAATACAAGCAACTTTTTTCCGGTCAAGTTGTTGATTGACATAAGATAGATTGATTAGTTTGAATCTAAAACCATTCGTCGAGTATGATGAGGAGTGATATCCTTCTTCATGGAATACTAGTGTCGAGATCGAGTTGAATCATAAACTTGATATTGTTCTTCCTATAAATGTAGTTGTCTACACTTTCCAAACCAGTAAAGAAAGTTACAGCTATATA